ACGAAAAAAAGTAAATACTTGTAAATATAAGTAAGTACTTACAAGTAATTACTCAAAATTAAAAATATTTTTCTGGTATTTACTTTCGAGAGAGTTCTAGTTTTTATTTAAATAAAAATAAGTAATAGCTTCTCCTTAAACGTTTCAGCTTTTTCTTATAAGTTATGACTTGCAAGGTAATACTTTTTTTTATTCAATAGACCCAATGCCTTTTAAAGTGTTTGGAAATGCTACGTCAAAAATAAGATACTTTGTGGGGTTTCCGGTGGTATATTTGAAAAGTACTATTTTTTCTAATGTCTAAAATGTAAGTATAAAAAAAATTTGATTATTAAGAAAAATATATGAGTCACCTAAATGCAAAACTCGGTATTTGACGAAATTTTCAAAAGTAATGTTTTGGCGCCATTCAATTCCTTATGTCAAAGTCTAGCATTCTCCTTCTAAAATAAGATGCAAAACTTATTTCTGCATTAAAAACGCTTTAGAAAACGAAGACTAGATGCAAAACTCTGTATTTGCCTTCACTTGTCAAATGCCAAACTACGTAATTGTAACTTGCCAATGGCGTTGCGCCTAATAGTCACGTGATTAGGTAAGTGCACGGGCACGTAGACATTTTAATTTATTCATTTATAGTTTACTTATTTAGGGAAATTTTTTTTGCTTGTATGTATTTTATTACACCTAATAAAAATGTTTTTTCTACGTTCATGCAAAAAACAAAACTTTATTGAACTATATTTACTGAAAAAACTGGTTCTTTATTGCACTAGGGCAATAAAAATTTTATTGCACTCATCTGTCATTTTACTACAGCGTTTTATGATCATGACAAACATAAATATTCAAATCAACGCCAAATATTTAGTTCATTTTCTGTGTCACGTTTTAAAAACAATTGCATATTTTATATTATTTTCAATGATTTAATAAATAAATTAATAAAAAAATGTATTTTATTAAAAATGTCTTTACAAATTATGAACACAAACGTAAATAAATGCCTCAAACAAAGGTACACGATTACGGCTACTATGATTTGGATAATACAACTGCAGTTCTATAAAACATTTTTTGGTTTTTGCATGAACGTAGAAAAAATATTGTATGCAACTCGTGCAAAAAGTGTTTATTGCACTCGACGTGCTGTCCAACTCGGCCTGCCGGCCTCGTTTCACGTCGCGTGCAATAAACACTTACTTTTTGCACTTGTTGCATAAATAACTATTAATTTATATTTTGGTATCTTTATAAATAAAAAAAATTGTAAGAAAATAAATTTTCTAAAATAAGACAACCATGCACTTATCGGTATTAGCAATTGTGAGTTGCAAAACTGGGTATTTTTAAAACATAAATGCAAAACTCGGTATTTTAATTTTAAAAGTATTTTTTTTTTTTTAATTTTTGGTAGGATTTCGGAATGAAGAGCATAGTTATTTCAAAACAAAATTACTAGAGCCAACTAAAAACAAAATTTAAAACGAATACATATGTATTTTAATTACTGACAGCTTTTTGTCCTTCCTGAAAAATTTTGTAATTAGCAAATACCGAGTTTTGCATTTAGGGGACTCATATATTCCCGATAATTACCTTCTGATGCGTGATATGAGCATTGTTTCAATATGTATTCGATTCATAAAAGTACCTTATCGATTCTGTCAATTATTAATCTAGATTTTGTTATAAATTGAAATATTTGGCAAGTTTGCTTATGCTTTATAGGAAAATCGAAAAATCTTAGGTTAGAATCACCAAAATTCGAAACTTTTAACTCATATTTCTGTTATTTATGCCTAACCCGCAATTTTTTTTTTGTTATTTTATACAGGGTGTTTCCGAACTTGCGTCCAAATTTGTAGGTGTGGTAGTTCTCATAATTTGAGACCGATTCGCAGATTTACTTTTTCCAAAATATTTAAAATTAAAATAATTAAAAATTATAAACAGGTACGGTCCTGCACAGCGATAGGAGCGCCTCGACTCGCGCGCGCTTCGCTTATAATAGTGCAATTAAATAACGAAAAAAAGCCCCTTCGAGCTTACATTAATTTGTAATTGGATGAAACAAAGTGGAACTTGTGTATTTTGATGTGATCTTTCCGAAAAAAAGAAAAAAAAAGATGTAGCTGTTTTTCATTTTTTTTTAAAATTAGGAAAAACCGGGTTTTCCGGAATTTTCCATGGTAAAAATCCTAATTATCTGGGCAAGTATCACTCTGATAGTAAAAATAAATGCACCGAAAGAGGAGGCAAAAATAGTTCGGAAATTCATTGCAGAGGTAGTTTTTAATGGCAAATTTCTCGCGCCAGAAGTGCTTTTACCAACAAGTTTTTTCGTTTCTTTGATCAAAACCATGAACATGAAATTTGCGATGAATTTGTGGCGAAATTATAAATGTTATGTGCCTATGAGAGAAGTTGCGTATTTTTTTGTTGGCTCTCAAATAAAATAAGTCCCGCGGCGAAATCTGCCATAATTTTTCGGGAATTCGCAGTTTTTTTTTTTCAGTTTTTCCCATATGATTTTCTTCGGATTTTCCGAAAACATCTAACAAAAAATATATTTGAAAAATTACGTGCGCCATCGTAAAGAGCACAAAAAAATACACAAAAAGGTATACTTTAAAAATGTTAGGAAATTAATCCTAAGCCTGAGTGTAAGTTCCAACTTGGTGATAAGCTTGTTTTTTGTTCTATAACATCTGGTTTTCTTCTCGGTTGATGCTCCATCCTCCTTTTTTTTTTGGCATTGTCAATCGTGGCCCTTTTATGCTTATCCCAGGTTTTATAAATAAACTTTTCCGTAACGTCGAGCTACGTAATATTTGCGACACCTCTCATGCAATATAAAACCTGGTTCTAAAGAACTGAAAAAATCATCCCCCTCTCTTTGCTGACCGTCTGCAGACCTTTTAATCCTGTTGGTCTAATTGGGGTAAGTTCATCCTCTGCAAGTGTCTGATGACATAATAAACACAGGCCAGCCATTGCAACCTGGAAACAAAAAAATTATAGCACTGTGATAGAATTTTCTTAATTTAGGAACGTACTTAATAAATTGCTGAGGAAGTCCGAAAAACCACGTGTACACAGAGCATGTTAAACACGGTTATTAAAAATCTATGCCGATGAACACAGTGATTCAGTTTGTAATAATATGACCGTTTGAAGTTTAAACTTGTCGGATAGCGAACGCTGAGACCATGGCTATCCTTGATACGACGTGCGGCTAATTTTGCGGTAATTCTATTTTTTGCACAAAACTCAAGAAACATCTTATAACAAGTCAGTAAAATACAATTTAATAAATTTTAGGCCTAATAAATTTAGGTATGTAAGAAATTTAAACCGGAAATCACAAAAAAAATCAAATTACAGAAATGCAGAGTATACGCGAGTTTTGGATCCCGCGGAGCGCGTGCAATGGGACTTCTGTCGGGAGAATTCTACAATTTAGAAGAAACATACACACTTTAAACTTTGTATACACATTCAGAAGACATAAAATTTGGGTTTGCTCAATTTTCAGACCAAAAAACTGAAAATCGTCAATTTTAGGCAACTTTTCTCAAAAACCGTGTTTTTTTGGTCGTCACTCAATGAACAGTGGTCAAAAAAATAGATAAAATATTTTTGCAGAATTTTCCGTAATGTAATCGTATTCTAGACACAATAAAGTACTCAAAAAAAAGTTTTGAGCTATTGGGTGCATTTTTGGCAATTTTGTGCCACTTCAAACTTTCGAAAACAAATTTAGTTTTTTTTTAGGGAAAAAAATGTGTTTAATTGTTTGATATCTTGGCTAATTATAATCCGATTTCGGTGAAATTTACAAACGTATAAGATTTCACATTCAAGAGTAATCTCTGTAAGTGGCATTAAAAAAAATTTAAACAGTTTGGCCGTTATAGGCAAACAATGAAATTAGGCCCGTGGTACACTTTGCCCTTCCGCCATATGCCCAATTTTAAGATTTCTCTTGCCCCCTTCTGGAAATCAATAGTCACATCCCTTAAGTTCAAAACGCATTTTTGTTTTTTCAAATATCTTAATTTTTACCAAAGTTATGAAGAATTTAGTGTTTGAATATTTAACAAATTCAATTTTTCGACCTTCGGCGCCGCCTCAAGATACTAAACAAATTTCAATCGTCGATACTGCGAGAACGGTGCATCGGATCAAAATTTCTCAAGAGACATGAAAATTAGCATTTTTCCTAAGCTTTCAAATGTCGTAAACTGCGTTTTGAAAATATTGTTTTATTTCCGACATGCGCCTGCGCAAAATTGAAAAATTGACAAAATCCAAAATTTCGGCACTTTCGAAAAACAGCTACATTTTGTTTTGCCTTTTTTTCGAAAAGATCACCTCAAAATACATAGAATCCATTTTGTTTCATCTAATTACAATTTAATGTAAGCTCAAAACCCGTAATTTAATTCGATTATTAGAATCGACAAAATTGCAAATCGCATCTGTTTTTGAGGACTATTGCGCTACGCGCTCAGGGTATGACCTGCTCTTTGATTTTTTTTATAATGGCTCTATTTTGTTTATCATAATTTTTTTAGAAAAATGAAATCTGCCAATCGATCTCAAATTATGCGAATTACCACCCCTACAAATTTGGACGCCAAGTTCGAAAACACCCTGTATATACACTTAATACTATTTTCTAGTTTAATTTTTTTTTTTTTTTCGAAATTCGTGTGTCCGTTACGTTTACAGGCACCGCAGTATCCTCAATATAAAAACATTAAACTGATTAGGGGGAGCCAGAGGGTGGAACCTAAGCCTGTTAGTGGGAGCCTTCTAAAACTCCTCAGGGGGAAGAAGAGGGAATCCTGAAAATAATATATATGTTATTGTTAAATAATGTGGCCTGAATTTTAGTTTTATTCTACTTTGAGTCTAGGTTAGATTTAAGGAAACAAGAAATATGTATAATATAACTTTTTTAAATAAAAAATATTGCACTTAACATTATTTAGGTCTTCAAAACGGTGAAGATAATTTCAGCAATTTTGTCTCTGCACCTGTGACCACTAACCAAGTAGAACAGAAAGAAGCTCCAGATCCAGTTAAGAAGGAGGAAGAGAGCTTTTTTAATCAAGTGTTACCTACTGAAAAAGAGAAAGTAAAATTAGATAAAGATAGCATCATGGCTCTCTATGGTAATGGACCTACTAATAATTTCAGCCAATTTCCTCAGGTAATTTTATTGTTTGCAATAACATGTTTGACTACAGTTCTTCTTTTTAATTGAACTTGTAAACCGTTGGTAACATACAGTTGATTAAATGGAAAAACTGCATAGCTGGTTTCAGAGATATTCGATAAAAAAGAAATTATTATTTATATCTGTACCCCAGAGCTAAACTGTCATAAGTCACATTTTGCAAATTTTACAGGAGATTAAAACAAAGGTTTTTTAAATCTTTTAAACTACTAGACATATTGACCTAATTTTTTCGATAGAGTAAAAAAGCACATTGCATATCCATTTTTAGAAAATAGTTTTAAACAGAAATTATATATTTTAGAAATAATTAAATTGTAGTTAATACCATTTGCCTCTCAAGATGGACTTAATATTTAGGTGACTTAATATTAAATGCTGCTATCAAAATTGGCCTTGATACAACTTGGCTCTATCTAAAATTGGGACTTAATATTATAAGACTGGACATGAGATCATATGGCTCGTAGGTATTTTTTCAAAGAGAATTAAGGTCAAAGTTAAGTAAAATTATTCCTGGACTTATATTTGTCTGACCCTGAAGTATTTATTTAACTATTATTTAGTCCAAAATGGTTTCAACACTTTAATGATAAAAACTACAAGAGACCAATGATAGTATTTTTTTATGAATATGTATTTATGCAAAAGGTGATACAGAACAAATTATTGAGAAAAAACATTACAATTTAAATAATAAAAAAATAAAACTAGTATTTATTTATTCACGAAATGTTACTTTTAATCTTCTTCTACAAATCCGTCATATGGAAGCTCTTTGTAGAAAGAATGAAACCTTTTAGGGACCCATTTTAACAGTTTTTGTAGATCGTCGTATTTTTTCTTGGTTATTGGTCGTAAAGTGGACCGGATCACTTCTAAATTCGGTAATAGATTGTGGGTTTTCTTTGACGATTTTCTATTGAAGTCTATTTCCTTAAAGTCCTTATCTAAATCAGATTTAAAGAACATTTTTCCAGGACAGTCTTGTTTAAATTGCATACAAAATAAGAAAGTTAGTTTTGGTTGTGGTTTTTTTGTTTTGAATAAATGGGGAACGAGCACTATCATAAGCTGCACCAAAGTCTTTAAAATCTTCAAGTTCCATTGCTTTTACTTCTAGGTTAGATTTGGTGCAGCACAATCTTGCCATTTGTTGCCAGTCCCATGGTGTTATAATGGAAAAGTCTGAACATTTTTTTTGTTCTCTTTCTAATCTCGAGTGAACCGTGTCAACCTCCATGTGTGTGTGGCCTCTAAGGAGATACTTATGTTCAATAAACTTTAAGGACGGTTTCAACGAAAGTGCGTAAATATAACATACAATCATTTGCATGTTTCGATTCTGAGAAGGACAATTATCACTCCAGATAATAAGTTTTTCTACAGAGTTTTCCAAATCGAGAATATATCTAAGGAGGCAAGATGCCATTTCATTACCTCCACGACCAGCGAGTGACTCATCCTACATAAAACACGACGATTTTTTCAAAGTAGAATCATAAACGGTATAATTAAACGACCAAAGTTTCAGAGAATAAAAGCTCTGAGCGTTATGCAGCAGTGGCGTAGGAAGACATTTTTGGAGGTCAACCATTATCACTTTTACATTAATCTTGCCTTGTGATTCTTCCTTATCTTTTTTCTTTTCCGAATATCTTTTCTCTGCTTCTAGTAGGTGACGATCATACTCTTCTTGAATGCTTTGGCGGTGTTGCATGGAACTTGTATCTTTTAATTTAACAATAAATTCATCGCAAAGATCGCAAGTGTCGTTGGAGGGCTGACTAAACGATAGATTAAACTCGCTGTTAAAAATATCTGAGTATAGCCAGGATTTTGGAATATCTTTTTTGGAAATACCTTTCTCTTCACAGTCTTCTACAAATAAATTATACATTCGAGTAATATTTAGATGGGACCCCAAATATTTTCGTTTAGACCTAGTCCTAGAGTAGTGTGATTCGACACACGAAAACTGTTGAATATGCTGACGTACGATATCTCTGGTAGCGACTGAAAATTTATTATTCGGTTCATGCCGACCCCTCTGATCTACTTCTACAATACCACTATGCGTTTTCTTTTTTAAAGCAGTCCGTATTGCTGTCTGTGAAAGGGATAGCGTATTAAGAAAGAATGTACGACACACAGGTATCTTTTTTTTATCGACATAAAAAAAGTATTTCAAAGACGTTTTTCTTTTGCCTTCACGACGCCCATTCCTTACACGAACTCTTTTTACGGGACTTTCTTCGATTTTGTCAAAAATAAACGTACTTTACTCTTGAGCAAAATTCATATTTTGTGACAAACCTCGTATACGGCTTGAAAAATTTGATATGTGATGACTGTATTTTAGGTTTTGGGTCATGCAGGACTTTTTATCAAGAATAACTTTTTTTCCTAAAATCAATAATAAAAATGTTTTCCATATGGTTCAAACTTAAGTAAACATACACGATTGATCTTGGCCTAGATTCTGAGCAGTCTTTTGAAATATTCAACCGCCCTGTATGATAGTCGAACGAATACTCCTTTTAAAATATGTGGGATTATTTTGTATTTTGTAATGTTGACATTAAAAATTTGTCCAATTTTTTCAAAATAAAACTTATATTTCAGCCACAATTTGGCCAACCTGGATCTCAAAGTACTTTTCAAGGATTCGGTGGATTTCCTCAAACGCAACCTCAGCAAAATGTTTTAAATCTTTCAAATCCTCAAAATGGATTAAATCCAACAACACAAGGTTTAGGGGCGCAATGGCCTCAGGGACAACAAAATCAACAGCAACAACAGCCACCGCAACCATGGTTTTCTTCGGGAGCTCCAGCTTTCCCAGGACAACCACAGGTAATTGTTAAATGCATTTTACCAATTCTTCATAATGAATTATGTAATATGAAGTACAGTGTTTATTTAGCAAATACATTTCATAGTCTTAACAAATTTAATGTGTATTACACGTTAATGAGCTATTTTGTGTATTTAATACTGGATATCTTCCTACTTAATTTCCCGGATTTTGATAGATTGTTACTTGGTAATTTTACAAAGGGCATGAACCGCAAGTTATTTGACATGCATTATTTATTTTTTATGGTATTAAAAATATGTTCAAAAATAGACTTTCAAATATATTATGACTAACAACATTTTTGCGAAATCAACCGTTTGTTTAAAAGATATTGAGCAAATTTGGTTTCACTATTTGAGTTTAGCACCGTTTTTATCCTCCCCGGTTTACACAGAAATGAAAATAATGATTTTTAAAAATAGGGCAACTTAGTTATTTCAAATTGAATATTTGTCGCCTAACACAAAACCTTTAGCTTTCGAATAATTTTTACAGTATGACCCACTTTCCATGACATTTAGAAATAAGTCGAAAAGAGAGATAGATAATATAATAACTTCGAAATTGATGTTCTATATTTATGCACATGTACTAAAATTGTATGAGTAGAAAAGCATTTCCTACGTCTTACTAATACCGCTAGAAAAATTTATAGGTATATCAGGGTCGAGATATTAGCTTGGTTAGCCTGTCTGAGTACCACAGAAGTCATGCGTACTACACCAACTGCAGCAGTGAAGGTACTATTAAACCTCACGCCAATACAAGGAGAAACCAGGTCCATCATTCACAGGTTAAAGCCGGCTACTCACTACGCGTTACTTGCCGAGTTACTTGGCTTGAACTGAACTTGGCAAGTACTTGTTCGAGTACAAGTAAATCTTCTACATTACGTGCGCCTTCTAAAGTAGTAGTAGTAACTTTACTCGGATCCTTTGACTTCGGTCCGTTTACCGACAACCGACGGGAAGTACAAGTAACTTGCTGAGTCTATACAAGTCTCCATACACATTACATGGTACTTGCAAAGTACTTGGCAAGTAACGCGTAGTGAGTAGCCGGCTTAATGCAGGGACAAAACCCAATACGTCAATTACACAGAGTTGACCATACAAGGCTATACCAGCAAGTAAAAATGGATAATATTCTAGGAATGTCCATTGATATAGCCAAAAAGAAATTTACAAACTCAAATATCGGTCCGAAAATCCTGGAAAGAGGAACCTTCCATACAGGCTAAACTCATCTGGTATAGACAGTTCAAAAAAACTAGTGCTGGAATGTTTGGATACAAGTTACAACATTTTCGCGGAGTCTAGGAGAAACTCAACAGTGTTCCAGACCGAACTGATATCCATGCAGTACTGTACACAAAAATAAATCGGCAAGAATGCGGCAAACTTATTCCTATCTACTGTGATAGCCAAGCAGCTCTAAAAGCAATTCTTTCACTAGAAATCAAATCACGACGACGTCAAAGTCTGCGTAGAAGACCTGACAGGGATGCAAAAGAGTCTCAGGAATAGTGAAACAACTATCCAGGATTGGGACAGGCTAATGAGTTAATTAAAGAACCGTTAGCCAAGTTCATGAAAGACCTACGGAATCACAAACGATAAATCGTTAGGATAACAGTAGGACTTCTTACTGGACACTGCCTCGTAAGAAGGCACATGAATGTCATCAATCTAGTAGAAGAAGCCACATTGTGCAAGTTCTTCGAAGAAGAAGAAGAAGAGGAGGATACGTTATCCACATCCTGTGCCAGTGTGAAGACCTTGCTAGATTGAGGTGTTTACCACTAGGTGAAGAAAAGCCTGGTTCATAACTTTTTGTGGGAGGCACTGTCAAAGCTACTAATGGCCGGTTTCTGGTACATTTCGTTATTGAAAGAATAACTATTGGTCCGATAAAGTTGTGTACAATAAATAATAAAGCGTTTCTGAAAACTTATCTCTAGCAATCCATCATATAACTAGGTTTGACATACCCTCAATAGATGGACTTTGACAAGTTAACGTCGTAAAGCAATATTTTATATCGGAAAATGAAACAAAAATTTTCTAAAAGTTCTAAAAAATTTACAGATGTTGATAAACATTATTATGTGTTATTCAAATGGTTATTGACCACAAATGTCATTGAAAATAAAAAATACCGTTGGTACAAGTGTGAAAGAGAAAATCCTCCTATGATAATTAGTTCAATCAAGTATTTTTAGTAATTCTAAAGCTGTCCCTAAATTCGTTGTCACTACTATTCTTCAAAAGGATCATTGACTCAGTATATCATTGTACCTAAACAAATACTTTGATGATAAGGCTTGCTGAAGAAAATTTAAATATATATTTTGGATGAGCTCATTGTAAACTATGTTGCAATTATTTATCAATATCAAAATTATGAGATACTATTACTATTTATAACAATGAATTAACCAAACTTATCTCGTTTTACATTATATTATAATATCTATTTAATTTTGCTATTTTTAGTTGCTACTTAAATTTTTATTGAAATTAGATATTCTACTCCTCCAATAAATGTCCTTGGTCTCCTAAAATACATTGTCGTTCTTTGGTGGTAGTGCTGTTATTTTTATTTCATTATTTCTATTACAAAATCAGTAATTATCCTAATATTTTTTTTATTTTGCCTTATTTTACGCTGTTTATCTTTTTAAATCTTGTTGGATAGTTGGTAGTTTCTATCTTTTCATTGAAAATAATCTTCAAGGTTTATCCTATAAAAAATACAATATTTTAAAATTGTGGGAAAATTGGCTTAACACTTTCACTGCCTATGACATTCATTAACGTTTTATAATGTCGTTTGAAAATTTATGCTATGATGAATGTAGTCAAGCCACCATGCAGTGAATTGCCTTTATAACCCTATAGGCATTAGTCGCGTCAAATTAGCATTTTACCTGCAACTTTTTGCGGAGAGATTCGATTGAGATGCGGTTTTCTGCAAAATGTTGAGGAAACCGTCTATAACAAAAGATATATCTAACCTCTGTACGCTCGCAAATTCTTAATTGTTTATTTAACAAATAAGGCATTTTTGTTAGAGTGTTGATGAATATGTCGCAAATGTCACACACGGTTCAACGTAAATGTCTGAAAAATATTCTCTTGGGGGGGGGGGGGGTTTGAGGTCCCCCTTTATCACTTTGGTGTCAGATTTATTATTTATTGCTAAATTGTTGTAACTTGACTAATTAACAAATTAAAAACTCAACCCCCGAAATCACTAGAGAACCATCGGCACAAGATTTTTGCAAACATAATTGTTTATTGTTCGATTGTTGCGACCTCGCTAATTAACAAATTAATAACTCGACTCCCGGAATCGTTAGAAACCCAGATTTTTTTTGCAATAACTCTGGGATCATGAGGAGAACCATTGCCAGAAGGTTGTTGCAAATATGATTGTTTATATTTGAATTGTTGCAACCTGGTTAATTAACAAATTAATAACTGTCATCCAACAAAGGTCAGAATACTGGTGTTTTTTAGGTAATGGAAGATTATTTGAAAATTTTTCCGTAGTGGGGTGTACATACTTAGCTTTTTCCTCTAAAAATTCTTTCAATTCACTCATAGTGAATAGACAGTCGTGATTTTCATTTATATATGCGAACAATGTTCTCATAGCGATATTAATGTTATCAGTACGAGGGCTTTTAATAATTTGGTTTCTTTCACGTCTAGTAAATTTCCTGTAACAGTCATCATGATAAACAGCTCTTCAAATAAGTCTACATCTTGGATACGTGATTTGACAGTATCGTGATCTCCATAATTCTCTAGCAAATTATTCATAATAGTTTTTTTTTGGTGGTTTCTGAAACTGTGAAAATACTTCTACGGGAAATTTTCCTTTGGCGATTATTCATGTTTTTACAGCATTCTTATTACAAATAAAACATGTATATAAAAAATTAAATTCTACTGAATCGTGATTTTCCAACCCATTTGATTCTGCTGAATCCTCATCAGTTTTACGTTTTCGTATGGACTCAATGTTGTACTTATGATTATAAGCTGAACGACAATCTCCATGAACATACACGTTCTGACCACTCTGTAAAAATGGTAGGAAATCATCTCGTCGTTTCCTTGAAAACTCCTTCAAACTATTCAAACCTTTCAATGTCTTGACGTGGGTCACTTGTCTATCATTTTCTTTCTCACAAATAAAACTTCTCCAACTTTTGTTCACAAGCCATGATGGTATATACAAAGAAAATATAATTAAAGCGTATTGTAGGGACGCCACTGGTTACGTGACGCTCTTACAGAGGGAGTCAACCTTTCAAAATGGTTTAACTAAAAAATGGAGTACTTCTCCATAGAATTCGCAGATCCAATTATATGTCCGTCGAGGAGTCACAACTTGAAGTACACAATAAAATAGGACGGCACTGTTTAGTTATTTACATCCGTTTATTATATACAGTTACAGTTTTATAAATCCAAACTTCGTCACACATACATTTTAAGTTACAAAAATTATTAAAAATCACTGGGTTATAAAACAATCATTACTGTTGCACTGGTAAACATGAATTATATATTAAAAAATAAAGTGAATATTTAAATTGCGAGAATTAGCTTGTTTTATCGATGTAAGAGTAAAAACAGAATGGCCGACACCCTGAACCCCTCGTCCGTCGTAGCCAAAGCGCGGGAAGGCAAAACCTCAAGAGCCATCTGTCCAGATGGTACTAAAGTTACATTAATTCTTAATGAATGGACAAGTAAAAGATTCTGAAATTGTAGAATCGATAATTTGACCACATGCACCCTCTTCTTTGCTGGGTAGATGTCACCATGAGTAGTGTTTTTTATAAATAAAAATACAAGTTTGAAATGAGTGGAAAAATGATTGTTACTTTGTTCAGGGAATTTGAACACGTTTTCACACATAAAAAACTTCAAATTGCAACGTACTTACTTTTAAGAAAACACTTGCAGGTATTCATCAGTAT